CACAATGTGACAATATATATGAGTCGGTGAAACTCCGACGAAACAGTTTGTCACAGCCTCTCGTTTGTTGTCCTCTTCTCCCTCTCTGCCTACGGTTTACCGGGCAGTTCTATTTGACGATATATATATATAGTCGGTGAAACTCCGACGAAACAGTTTGTCACAGCCCCTCGTTTGTTGTCCTCTTCTCTCTCTCTGCCTACGGTTTTACCGGGCAGTTCTGTTTGTGACGATATATATATATTTCTTGCCCGGCCGGGCAAGTGGTCCCGGGCCACTCGGGTAGCCCAGCTGTTCTTATTATTGATTTAGCAGGAGTATACTATACGTATTGTATTTTCTGGGATCTCCGTCGATGACACAGTCGTTTTCTTTGCTTCTTTATCCCAGTCGATAACAAGATTTTGTATTTTCTCCTCTCTCGTGCAGGTTGTGAAGAACAGGGATACCCTTGTCGAACTGCTTGCGCGCCACACAGGAAATGTGAGTAAAAAGTGAACTCTGCGGCTTCGACAAGTGGGTCTTGTGAATTTTGTTTGTGGATTTCTTGATCACGTCTGTGTCAGAAGGCAGGACGACAGCAATCAAGACAGTGTATTTAGGAGAAAAAGAAGAAAGTTTATTTGACTGGTATGCTTATCCACGCATCTGCTGAAGATTAGTTTGATCCTGGATGGAGGGGTAATTTTCTAAATTGCTACTTGCTGGAGGAGTTGTAGGCAACTTGTGTTTTCCTTTCACCGACTCTTTGGGTCAACTTCCCAAAAGGATGGACGAATCTCTGTCACATTTTCAGAACGACGACTCCTCGTTCGTCCATAGTGCCGCTGAAATGTGCAGCTGCTGTAGTGGGTAATTTGAGTTCATTTTGTGTGTGTGACTTTCGATAGGGCCATTTTGTAGGAGCCGCTTTCCTCCGCGGTTTGGTTGTTTAACATCTTTTTACTAAGTTTTTAGGGGTTTGCGATGGTCTTCTACAGTGTTTTTTGGCTCGGCGAACATTGCTCTCTACTGAATTGCTCTCTGTTTCTCTGATGACTTGCTCTCTTTTTCTTTGTTGTAACAAACACAGCCTATGGAGGTAGTTGCGAAGAAGATGGAAAGACCATTCTACATGAATGCAACCAAGGCCATCAAGTTTGGTGTGATTGACAAGGTAAGCTGCCAGCTCTCTGACTCTTTGTCCCTGCTGATGCTCTTAACCTTACCTTCTCGGCTATATGAGCGGATTTTCTTTGGAGTGCACGCTCCATGGTCCTCGTTTGTACGAGGCATGCAGATGAAATGCGTCCCTTCGCTCATGGACGCAGAAAAATAATTTGTAGGGGGTCCGGGGACACATATCGTCTTCGTTTTTTCTTCGCACTTCAACCTCCTGAAATGCGTCCCTTCGCTCATGGATGATGAAATGCGTCCCTTCGCTTGTGGTCCTTGTTTGTAGGAGGTATGCATGGATGATGAAATGCGTCCCTGCGCTCATGGATGATGAAATGTGTCCGCCTCTAGTTAGCATGCTGATTTACTTCCGGATGAAATGCATGCAGATGAAATGCATCTCATCTGAGTTGGAGGGGGATGCACTGATCAGGGGTCCTTCAAATGTTTTTTTCTGATCGATGTGACCCTCTTGATCATGGATGCCACAAGGCCCTGTGGGCGTCGAGTGCGCCGCGCTTCACTTCTACTCAGTGGATGCTTGTAGGTGGTTGGCATTTTCCCTCACCCGACCGTATTAGTAGAGCCTTATAGCAGGCTCGACTGGCTCGTGTACATCTTGCCAGGCTCAGGTCATGGTCGGATGCCAGTGTTGCACACCCCGACGGTCGGCGCTCCTCGACTGGTCGGATGCCAACCAGCCGACCGGTCCGCTGGTCAGCGCCTACCGGTCGGGGGTCATTGGCACCCTGCAAAAACAGAACCCCCAATAATGCCACCAACACGCCCATACCCACCCCCAATACCTCCATACACCCCCTCAAAACTCCCAAACCTCCCCCCAACACC